GGGCGGGGTTTCGCAGGGAATGGGCGGGGTTTCGCGGGGAGCGGGGGGGGGTTCGCAGGTAGTGGGCGGAGTTAGGCGGCACTGCGTGGGTTGAAGCGCGCCCTGCGTGGGCCGCCGGCCTCTGCGTGGGGTGGGTTCACCACGCTGCAGTGCGTGGGCTGTGCATCACGGCACTGCTCGGCACTCCCAGAAGCGAGTGGCACTGTGGTGCTCTGCACCACGCTGCCGAGATCTGGCACGTCTCTGCCCTCCTGCTGCTGTGGTGCTCTCTGCGTGGCTCCCCCCATCCTGCACGGCACAGTCCAGGGCTGGGTCCTGGGCCAGAGCACCGGGAAAACAGGCCAGGATCTCACAGGAGACAAGAGCTCCCTTCACCCTGGTTGCCAGGAGTATCCATGGCAAAGCCAAGACCACAGTGTTGAATACAAGAACCCAGGATAAGTCGGTCCCTCTCTCTTCCTCTCCCTTCCATGCACAGAACGCTGTCTCCTCAGCAACAACAGAGAGGGAATTGCAAATTAACAAGATGAAGAAAAAAATCCCCTGCTCAGCCTGTGGTGTTTGTGGGATGGAGCAGTGGAACCATTTCCAAGTGCACAAACGCAGGCAAAGACAGGACTGATCGACCAGACAGGGCATCTGCACGTACGGCAGAGCTGGATCTGCTGCCAGGGAACCCACCAAAACTGGCAGCAGCACAACAAGGGCAGAATCAGTCCCTGACGTCTTCCCAGCTACCTCCTCCAGCCAATGTCCCAGCCAAACAGGCACTGCTCAGCCTTTAATCTGCAGAAAGCCTCGTTTCCCTGGCAGCAGTATTTCAGAGGTATTTTTGGCACTCTTCTCCCCAAGGGTCCCTGCGCACACGATGCACGCGCAGCCACGAGCGCCCTCGCACCAGGGCCGGGCTGCAGGCAGGCTCGCAGTGCTCTGCACCATCAAGCTGGGAATGAGCTGCCGGCACGGCAGGGACTCGGTGAGAACCCAGGGTGTCTGCTGGGAGCAGCCCCAGTCCTGGGACAGGGTGGGCAAGGAGGGGGTGCCTTCTTCTAAAGGGATGAAGGATGCTCCGAGGCAGCTCAGCCAATGGGGTGGCTGGGCTTGGTTGCCATGGCTACGGTTGTGAGGCAGAGGGGGGGGGGGGGAGTGCTGGGATACAAGGGGTGCGGAGCCCCCCCACCCTCTGCAGGGTTACCTGGTCCAGGGGCTCGGGGCAGGCAGGGAACCGGGGCAGGACGAACAGCCGCCGCTGGGGCCAGTCCATTCTCTTGGGAGACCCATGGGCATAATCTGTTTAAATGCTTTCTAAGGTAATGGGGTGGAGGGGATGGTGTGGGGCTGCTGGGGAAGCTCGTTTGCCTGGCACAGTGAGGAGGGGGCTGATGAGGGATGCCTGCGGATGCTGAGTTTTGGGAATGGTGGGTGGAGGGCATCCTGCCATCGGTGCCCCTCTCCCTTGCTAACCCCTTGCACTGCTTCTCCCCAGAGACCTCAGACCCCCAACAACAGCTACGCCTCGGGGTGCTGCCAGAGCTCGGTGTTCCTCGGGGGGCCCCCCTGGCAGCACGCCTAGTCACCCGGGAGGAAGGCATTGGACCTTAGTAAGGAGGGGATGTCCAAGGCGGGGGCATGTTTGCCCAGGGCTGACGGGAATGACCCACTTAATTGCTCATCATTTCTGTGCCCAACCAGCGTGGGCTGGGTGCTGGTTAGTGATGTCTTTGGGGAGTGAAGGGTAAGGCTGGAGCAGTTGCTCTCCTTTCCCAAGCGTGAAGCTCTAAGAGCTCCAAACCCCATTTTTTCTCCCCATTCCCCATCTCTGGAGTTTGCTGGTGGTGCTTGCTCAATGTATTACAACACCGTGCTGCTCCGGGGTCAGCGTGGTCTTTCTCCTAGTGCCCATCCAAAATGTCATAAGTAGGTCTCTGCAGAGGAGGAGGTGGAGTGCAGCTCTGAGAAATGAAACCTCTGTCTCCCACTCACTTCAAATCAGAAAGACCATGTTCCTGTAAGAGCCCTGGAGCTAGACCTGGATTATTGGAGTGGAAATGTTTCCTGCAAGCTTGTGCTAGGTCATCAGCTCCCTGGGTTATGGGATGGACTGGGTCCAGGGGAGGAGATTGTTAAAGCTAAGTGTGCGAGCTTAAAGCTAAAGCTCCGCCAAGTGTGTGAGCCAGGAAACACCACGCAGCTTAACTTGTCCCCTTGTTCCACACACTGTGTCATGGGAGAGACGTGAAACTGGAACGACAGCATGGATCCAGACCATCCTCAGGTCGGCCGGTGTCAGTGAGTGGCCTGTGCTGTGCTCTTTAAAGATGCTTCCCTTTTCGTGGGGCTTGTGTGCCTGCGAAGGGGGGTCCATGAGACTTCAGCTATTTGAAAACTACAAGGGAACTTCACCCCATGCAACGTACAGCAGATCTAGCTACATGCCGGAGCATGAAGGGACACATTCTGGCATATATAGGCCACCTTCTTTGCAGTGAAGTTGGCTTTATTGTTAACTGTGTTGGTGCCTGAACTGCTGCTGAAGAAGACAGGGCTGCTGTGTGCCAAAAGAAAGCTCTGAGCTGCAGAGAAATGTGTCTCCTCCCCCTGGAGAAGATGCTTTAACCCACAGTAGGGCTCTCAGCAGAGGCGCTGGTTTGGAGAGCAGCAGGGAGCTCTACCCAGGGCAGCGCTGCCATGTACGGCCCATGGGAGGGATGGGGTGCAGGCTGGGTGATGCACGCTGGCGGAGCTTCTGGGGCCCTGCTTCTAATATTCCCTTTCTTTTTCCAGTCTGTTGTGTATTTAGAAACTACAACCTACTCGAGGAGGCTTTAAACTAGAGTTATCACACCTTGACCATGAATGGGTACTTGAAGGAATCCAATTTCATGATGGTGGAGGAGGGCTTCACCACCAGAGACCTCCTGGAGAACCTCCTCGTGGAGCTGGGCCAGGTGGTAAGGGCTGGCAGCTCTGCTGCTCCCCGGCAGCCAGCACCCCCTTGGCAGAGGCGGTCGTGGGGAGGCAACTACTGTTCACTCCGACTTTCTCCTAGAGCGACCAGCAAGCCTTCTTCGTGGCAGACCTTGGGGACATTGTGAAGAAACACCTGCGTTTCCTGAAGGCTTTGCCCCGTGTGAAACCCTACTTCCCGGTTAAGTGCAACGGCAGTGAAGGAGTGATTCGGCTGCTGGCTGAGCTGGGGGCAGGCTTTGCCTGTACCAACAAGGTAGGGTCGTGGAAGGACAGCTCAGGGTGAGCATCCTTTGGGTATTTGTGGGAGAGTGGCAGAACTCACCCACCTTTCCTAAGTTTCCACTCATTAGATGGCATTTAGAGGGGCAGGAGTCTCCCCCTGCTGTCAAAACCCTCCTGACACAGCCCAGAAATCCCTGTCCTCTGTCTGGTGACTCAGGCTTGTTCCCCTTGACCGATATTCCTGTCTCTGGAACTGGTGTCCTGGCTGGCAGGCTTGGCTGGTGGCAAGGCACATTCCTGGGGTGCCACTGACACAGCCGTCCAATTCTTGGTGGCTTTAAAGCTGAGCCTAAAGCTCCCGCTCCCTCCAGCTTGTCATTTGCAATAGCCAGATTTCTAGGGAGGAACCGAAGTTAAGCCACTTACTTGTACATAATTAAATAGGACGCGTTACCAGGAGGAGAAAGTGCAAAGAGTCATGACAGCTCAGACCAGCACTGCAGCTGTCACCCTCATTGCAGCTCACCGGGGACACATGCACCAAACCCATGCCTGCTAAACCCACTTGTTTTCTCTCCTCCTGGTCTCATGCCGCTTGTAAACATCTTGCCGCAACCTGCCCCTGCCAGGACAAAGTCCACTGTGATTCCTTTGAGCTCTTGCGGATTTTCCGTGGAAAAGCCCAGGCTGCAATGCTGGCGGTTTGCCCTCCGCAATGCTGCAAGCTGGCCGAGCCCCAGGGCTGATCGTGGCCAGGCATGGGCAGTGCTGGTCCCGAGGACCTGCCTACATGCATGCTGTGTCCCTGCAGGCAGAGATTGCATGTGTGCAAAGCATTGGGGTCCCGGCTGACAAGATCTTCTACAGCAGCCCCTGCAAGCAGGTTGCCCATATCAAATACGCAGCCAGCCATGGTGTGCAGCTGATGACCTTCGACAACGAGGTGGAGCTGAGCAAGGTGGCCAGGAGCCACCCTCATGCCAGGTAGGTGTCTGGCAGCATCGTTGGAGTGGGGGGCTGGAGTAGGAGCTGGGGAGATGGCTGTGAGGTGACAGAGGGCCTGAAGACTCCTCAACACAGTGTGGCTTTGCTCTGCAGGTTGTTGTTGGGTATTACTGCTGACTCCAGCCCCTCTACCCATTCGAACATGATGTTTGGGACCACGCTCGAGTCCTGCCGGCACCTGCTAGAGACAGCGAAAGAGCAGGCTGTGGAGGTTATTGGCATCAGGTACAGCACATGGTCCTTCTTTCATAGGGGTGCTCAGCCCATGTTGGAGGGGACTGTGGGAAGCTCTGCCTTGCCAGAACAACACGGAGGTCCACGGAGTCACCGGCTGCTCTGGTTGGGAGTGAGGTGGAGGCTGGACCTGGGGAGGTTGACCCTTGTTGGGACTAATTTGGGGCAGTTTTGGACCTCAGAGAGGATCTGGGGGCCTCTGCGGGACTGGCCAGGCAGTCTGGCTTGGGATGGTGTGTGGGAAACACAGAGCTGCCCCCAGTGAATGATAATCCCGGTGCCGTGTCCCCTCGCTGCTCTCTGGGGACAGGCGAGCCCTGCTGAAACAGGGACTGTGCCCTCAGCTTTCACCTTGGGAGCCGCGGTCTGGAGCCCCAGGCCTTCACTCAGTCTGTGGCTGCGGCACAGCTGGCCTTTGAGATTGGCACAGAGCTGGGCTACCAGATGCACCTCCTGGATGTCGGAGGAGGATTCCCTGGCACCGAGGACACCAGAACCCGGTTCGAAGAGGTACGCAGCTCCCGATGCCTGCACTCAGCAGGCAGAGAGCGAGGCTGGAGGGTCTCCCCGGGTCTGGCTCCCTGCAGAGGGGCTGAGCTAACCGAGGGGGAACATCTTCTTCCCATCCAGATCGCTGCCGTGATAAACTCTGCCTTGGACTTGTATTTCCCAGACGGCTGCGGGGTGGAGATCATTGCGACACCTGGCCGATACTACATCACCTCTGCCTTCACCTTTGCTGCCAGCATCACTGCCAGGGAAGAGGTTCCCGTGGAACAGCCTGGCTCCGATGGTATGTGGGATGGTGGAATGGGCCCACCTGTGTGCCCCAGCCCCACCTTAAGCCCTCTCCTTGCTCCCCTCCAGAGGAAGAGTCTGGCAGCAAGAAGAGCCTCGTGTATCACCTCAGCGATGGCATCTACAGCGCCTTCAGCTGCCTCCTGTTTGACACCCCCTGCCCAAGAGCTCAGCTGCACAAGGTGAGGGTCTGGCCCAGCTTGAGGAGAGCCCGGCGGGTCCCTCACACTGTGTCGCATTGCCTCAGCCCACGCTGCTCTCCCTTGCGTCGTGGCTGGCCCCAGGCTCCATGCCAGAGGAGAGCAGAGGCCATGGGGAAGAGGTTGTGGTGATGTACCAGCAGAGCTGTAGCCAGAGTCCCTGAGCTCCCAGGGTCGGATCTTCAGGGCAGGTGGAGATGAGACAGATCGCTGTGACACTGGGGCATCCTCATCCCCTGCGGCTGCTCCATCTCTCCCCCGCAGAGACCCTGCCCAGACCACCCCTCGCACAGCAGCAGCCTCCAGGGTCCCCCAGAAGACACAGAGGACCACATTGCCGATGGCCTGGAACTGCCCGAGCTGCAGGTCGGGGACTGGCTGATTTTTGAGGACATGGGTGCCTACACCATCGCAAACTCGTCCCTGCTTGGGGGGTGTCCCCAGCCACAGATCACCTACGCCATGTCCCGTGTGGCCTGGTAAGAGACGGTCCTGTGTGAGCAGGGCTGAATCCCCTGGGAGATGCTGTCTTTCCCTCCACCTGGGCTCTTTGCCCAAGGGAGACAATCAAATCTGAGTCCCAGAACCTGAAGATTCAGGGTAAAAACCTGGTCTCAGAGGCAAAACTCGTATTTTTTTAAACATTGACAGACTTGAGCCAGTTTTTCACTGGGGAAGCCACAGGCAGCTCATTTCTGTCTGTGCAGACTGGGCCGTTGCTCTGGGGGATGTGAGACCCCCTAAGCTCCCCCTTCCTACAGCATTTCACAAGGGGATGCTCCCCCTTGCTCCCCCTCGGGTGTCTCTCCCTTGCAGGAAAGCCGTCCAGTTCTTCCAGGGAAAGCCACCGCAAACAGAAGACGACCGCGAAAGCATCTGCGCCCCGCTGTCCTGCGGCTGGGAGATGGCGGAGACGCTCTGCGTCACCCCGGTTTTCACTCCGGCCAGCATCATCTGAGCAACACCGGTACCGGGGAAGGGGATGAAGGTCTCATGGCAGCCAGGTCGCGGCAGCACCTCCTGCCCTGCCTGCCGCTGGCATCACCCCACTCAGCTCTCATGAGGGATCCGTGGTGAGGACTTTGAAGTATACACCATAAATCCTGTTCCTCCCGCTCGTGCAGTGTTGTGTGCCTGCTAAAGGGGTGGGTGGATGGCGCCGAGCAGGTTTGGGTTCGTTTTTTAAGAGTTATGGTAATAAAACGGTTATCCGGTGCGGCTCGGGGTTTCGTGTGAGGAAGCCCATGGCTCTTCCTCCCCACCCTGAGCCGGAGGCAGCGGAGAATCAGTCTGCAATAAGCAGTTAGCTGCGTAATGAGGCTTTGCTCGTTAGGGAAGGTAGGGCCGTTCCTCCGAACCTTGAACACTGTTCAGGCATCCGGGAGGGACCCCTGGATTTTTGAGGGTGGGGGGAGGTATGAAAATAGGGGGGTAGGTTCCAGGATGTGGGTATTACTGGGAGGAAGACCCAGACCTGGTGGCATCCCCCCAGTCCCCAAGCTCTCGTTAACCCTAACGAAGCCCCCTGCCCCTGAGATGTGTGTGTGTGGGTCCCGCACAGGTACAGCACTGCGGCGGGGGGAGATGGGAACCGGGAGCCCATAAAAGCCAAAGAACGGGGACACCACAAGACCCTGAAAGCCAGGGACTGGGGAAACTGGGGGAACTGGGGGGTACTGGGAGGACCCTGAAGCATGGGGGTGGGGTGCACTGGGAGCAATGGGCCACCGGGGGGATACTGGGGGACACTGGGGCGCGGGGGTGGGGGGCACTGGGAGCACTGGGAGGGCGTTGGTCGGGGGAGCACTGGGAGGACACGGGGAGTACGGGGGGAGCCTCGGCGGCTGCCGCAGCGGCCGGCAGGGGGCGCTGGGGCGCGGCGGGCAGCCTCCTCTTCCGGCCCGCCAGGGGGCGCTGCAACGGGGAAGGCCGCTTGTGCCGCTCGTCTCGCTGGCTCCGCCGAAGCCGACAAGCCGTAAAGCGCGACGTGATTGTCGCAGCTGCGCTTACGCTTGACGGCGGGCAGCGTCGTGAAAGGCCGGTGAAGGACGGCGGCGGCGGTTGCGGGTCCGTGAGGCGCGGCCGGTCGGCCGGTGTTCGTATCGCGACAGCGTCCTTTTTCGCGACAAGGGCGGAGCTATGCCGTTCTGGGACTTGCAGCGGCAGCTGGGTATCGATGTAGACCGGTGGCTGTTGCGGCAGAGCATGCCGCAGCCCTACGGCAAGGCCGGGGCCTGTCACGCCTTCGAGCGGGAGTGGGTGGAATGCGGACACGGCCTGGGCCAGCCCCGCGCCCGCCGCGAGTGTCAGCTCGAGTACGAGGACTTTATGGAGTGCATGCACCGCACCAAGCTGGTGAGCGTCGCCGGGCCGGGGTTGGGGAGCAGGGGGCTCTGGAGGGTCCAGGCCAAGTTGGGGGGGGGAGCACTGGGGCACCAGGCCCGGGCTGGGAACGCTTGAGGTGCTGGGTCAGGCTGGGGAGAGGGTGGTGAGGGTGCAGGCCAAGCTCTTGAGGAGGTTTGGGGGCTCTGGCGCAGGCTGGGGAGGGGGATCGGGGTGGGGAGCGCTGCCCAGGGATGTTCCTGCTCACCGGACACCCTGCCTTGGTGGTGCCTGGAGCCATCGGGCACTACCTCCCGGCTGGCAGCGGGTAGGCAGCGTACCTTAGAGAGCGCGAGTGGGGCGTCTGGCCCTGCAGCAGCCCCTTTCCCAAGGGGTGATGTGGGCTGTGGTAGCAGCAGGGCTCTGTCCTCTGCAGTCCCTTCCTCCCTGCCTGTGTGGCTCTCCTCTTCTCCAGCAGCAGTTACAATCAATCCTCAGCTGCAGTAGCGATGGCAGAAGATACTGCTGGGTCAGCTGTGGGTTGAAAACCCGATTATCATTAGTAGTAAAATGTGTTGCAACACCCTGAAAGCCCAAAAATCTTTGGCAGGAGGCTCAAACCCGTGTGAGGAGCCCCAAGGGCAGGGTTAGTGTGGGTTCCACGTGCATGCGGCTTCTGGGAGGCTGCTGGGACCTGTGCTAGGGACCGCGCAAGTGCTTTTCTGACTGCTGCGACCCTGTTGCGTGTCTGCCCCGACCCTCTCGTGTGCGCTTTGCCAGGCTATGCGGCTGAGAACCATCCTTGAGCAGAGGGACAAGATGATCAAGGAAGGGAAGTACACGATGCCCGACTACCACAAGGGCAAAGAGGAGCCGCGGCCTTGATTCGTGGGGGATGGGGCCGTCGGTCACCTGTAGAGCCGTTGACGTGGAACTCCTCTGGGAAGAAAACCTGTGGCACAACCGGGTCACGCTGTAGTGGTGGGGTGGGGTCTGCGTGGGGGCCCTGCCCCTCCTGAAGGGGAATGACACCACATCAGGCATCGCTTGGACTAGTAAATGTCTCCTTCGGAACAGCATTTGGCTCTGTCTTGTCTTTTTTTCCTGAGTAAAGCACGGCTTGAGGGTCTCTCTCTGTAGCAGTGCTGCCAGGGGAGCTTTTGAGACACCCTAAAACACCTCAGTGGTGCTGGGGACGTGCCCCTGAGGAGGTCAAATGCTCCTGGAGCCAGAGGGAGCTGGTGCCACGGGCTGTCGTGAGTTCTCCCTTTGTGCTCGCAGCTCATCCCTCCTGCTGACCTGTGGGCAGGCCTCCCAGGCAGCAATTGCTGCTGGAAACGAGAGGAATAACCTGAAAGAGTTAAAAAAACCCAAACCTGTCCAAGCTTATCCTGCAAAATTTCATCTTAATTTACAGCCATCATATGGGACTGGTGTGTGCTGGGCTGTTCCCAGTCACTCTCCAGCTGGTGGTAGCCGTGTATGAGGTGAAAACCTGGTTAAAACAACTTGTTTGCACCTGGATTCAGAGCAGTAGTGGATGGATTCAGTTTCTCTCCTGCTCTTTCAGCGTGTCGGAAGCAGATCTCCTCTCTGGGGGCTTTGCTTCAAAATCCCATGTGTCAGCGGGATCCATTGAGCGCCGTGGCGGATGCTGGGCCCTGCTGACAGCAGCTGGCGGGCAGCTCTGGCACGGCCGGGGCGGTTTGTCCCTCCGTGCTGTGTCCTGGCAGCGGGACCTGCCTGCGCAGCTGGTGTTCCTCCCTTCCCAAGGCGGGTATTTCCCCCTGTTCCCTCCAAATCCAGCACAGTTTTGTAACGGCATTAAATCAGGTGAGTACCTGGAAGTAGAGAGGGGACAGATATGTGCTTTAATCCACGTTTTTAATACTGGTGATTGTGGGTTTAATGCTTAATCTTTGATGCAGGTGGAGTCTACAAGTTTCCTGATCCTCGCAAATCCCCATACTGGGATGATAAACGCTGACCTGAGCGTGGTGTAACCTCTGGCAGGCAGAGATGGCCGGTGCGTCTCGCCGAGCTGCGCCAAGGGGCTGCATGGGGCTGTCGCTCCTGCTCGCAGATGCAGTTTCTCTAACTCCTGCCCCGCTGATGCCTTTGTCTGTGGATCATCAGGGCTTTGGATGCCCATCTCTGCATTTGTCTCCAGCTGAGAAGAAAAGTCCTCTCTCGAGGGCTGAAGGTGGCCATGGCAGACAACCTCTTCAAACACCTTGTGAATGAGTAACCGGGTGGGGGAGAACAGCTGATTTGATAAGCGGTCTGTGTTTAGATAGTATGTGCCTGAAATTTGAGAGTTTGAAGTTAAAAGTATCGCCTGACGTGGACTATGACGGGAGCAAAAAACCCAAACTCTTGTGGCTGGGACCCAAAGAGAGGGAGCACTGCCGCTTTGAGCTTCCAAGGGCCCATGTCCTGTGGTGGGTGCACAGATCCTTCCTGGGGATGAGAAGAGGCTCGCAGAGCCCTCATTCCACACGGACCCTGGAAGAGCTGCGCCCTCAGATACGGGGGGTCACAGCTGGGTACTGTGTTTTTGGGGCTCTCTGCCCTCTCCTTGTGCCATCCTGGGGTGCCCAGGGCAGGGACCCAAACCACGAGAGTTTCATTATTTGCACATGGTTGAACCAAAGTGCACTGACAGAAACACTTCCCCAGGTTTCACCCTGGTTCCACGCGGGCTGTGGCAGCTACGGTCCCACATGTGCCATCCCTGCTGGGGTTTGGCCTTTCTGGGATTTCTGCTGCTCCTTGTCAAGCTCCTCTCCCACAGCTCCCTCCGAACTGGCCTTCCTGAGCGCTGCTGGGAGGTTTCTCCCTTCCCTCAGGCCCAAATGGATTCCCTGCGCTCAGACTGAATCACAGCTGCAGTCATCCCGGCATGTGGGACAGAGCCACAGTTCTCCCTGGCAGGGGCAGGTGCTGGGAGATGGCAGCATCAGGGAGCCCCAAAATTTGGGTCTGGATCCAATGAGGCCCCAGGCTGCTGGAGATGGGGGGGCTGCTCTCCTTGCACGTAATGGGCTGATAATCCTCAGGGATTTTGTTTGGCTTTTTAAAATATGAAAACTGTTTGGTGGTGATTAGTTTCAGCAGAGGAAAACTTACGTAACGGTGCCGACACTCAGGTGGATTACAGCGTTTCAGCTGTAAAAGCAGGCGAGGGGAAGTTCCCCAGGCAGCAGTGGAGGGAAATGCCGGAAAGATGCGAGAGCAGTGTGAAAAAATGGGCAGAAATGTGAATGTTTTCAGGTGAAAACACCCTGGGAGGCTCCTGGCATGAGGGCTGTGGGCTCTGCGGGGTGGGGGGCTGCCGGAGCTGCCAGCCACCGGCCGTCAGAACTAATAAACGATGAACGGAGAGGGAAAACCACGCCTGGGGATAGAAATCGAACGGTGCCACGTGAGCTATTGGCTGTGGAGTATTTTATCTGCAGCAGAGAGCTGTCTGGGGAGGCTTTGGGGAGAAGGAGAGGGGCTGGGGCTGCGCAGGTAGGGGATGCGGGGACCAACGTTGCACCTCCAGAAAGCACCAAGCCGGGTTGAGCTGTGCCAGCGTGGCAATTGCTCGTTAGAGATGACAATTAATTACACTCCCCTTTCCTGAAGAGGTGTTATGCACCACGGAGGCGGCTTCGGAGAGGCAGCAGGTTCCCAGGGCCGGCAGTCGGCCCCATGAACGACTCTTCTGGTGGCAGCTCGACTGCGACAGTCGTTAACTCGGTGGCGTTGCAAACCCCTCACGAGCAGGCTGCGAAGGCTGGTAGCACCCGGAGCCGTGCGGCAGCACAAGCTGGCGCACTCTTGGGAATTGCTGGTTTGCAAAAAAAAAAAAAAAAAAAGGCTGTGAAAGGAAAGGGTTGCTTTTCCAGGGAGAGGGGAAAAAAAAAAAAGGGCTCAGCAAAAAGCCCAGCAACTTGCTTGTGTCGAGAGTGACTCATCTCGTCAAGCTGTCCAGATGTCGGAGGAAATATTGAAATGTATCTAAACGCTCCTGCCTCCTGAGACCCTCTTTAGATCCATCCAAAATCTAATTGTTCTGGCGATAGATGTTAACACAGCCAAGGGCAAGTGGTGAATAGCAGGGACTGGGAGGAGCAGATCTGTTTGTCATAGTTAAAAGCTCTATTAGAAATTTTGGCCAATAAAGCAAATAACCAAAGGCCTGATGAAAACAATCGAATTCATGGAGAGATAAAAAAACCACCTCCCAGCTCTGGCGGGAGGAGACCATGGCCGAGGCTCTGGCTGAGCGGCAGCAATCGAAAATGGGTCCGATCATCCCGACCGAGTTCCTCCAGGCAAAAGGGATTTGGAGCATCCTCAGCTTCTGAATGCAGCTCACCACGCAGCCCTGCACAAGATTCACTTCCAGTGCGTAGTAGATCCCAAATTTATATTTCACTGTTTGCTTTTTTGTCATTTTTTTGGCACAGGGTGAAGCCACATTCCGGCTGGGTGGGAGGCACCGAGGCTGGGATGGGGTGGGACGTCTCCACCGGGCATGAGCCAGCGAGAGCAGCGCTCGCATCACTCATCGGCTGCTTTCCCAGTGGTTTCCCTCCCCTCAGCTCCCCCATTCCCATTTTCCTATAACCCTCAGCCACCCGGGAGCAGGAGCTGGGGTCCGGGGAGCTGGTGAGCCCCCACCTCCTGCAGCTCCCACAGCCCCGGATGTGCCAGGAGCCTCCAGCAGCATCTGCAGCTCCTCTCTGCCTCGGAGAGGGGGAATAAACAACTCTCGGGAGATGAATAATTTATCAAAAGTCAAGGGAAAAGGCAGGTTTCATCTGCGGGCTTGGGCGAAGGTTTTAATGAGGGAGAGGGGACGGATCCCGGGGCAGAGCCATGTGCTGACTGATTTGCACCGGCGCAGCCGCGACTTGGGAGTTGTCTGCCTGCAGCCCCGCGGATGCCGAGCGGGACCCCAAGGTCTCGGCACCCTCCTCGGGTGGGTGTCCGCAGGGCCCCGGCAGGGAGGGGGGTCCCCATGGTCCTGCTGTACAGCACAGGAATGGGGAGATGAAATGATTTAGAGAGGACCCCTCCGCCTCCCCAATTCCTCCTGAAATAACGATTCCCCATCCCCACGTAGGCAAAACAACGCACGATCTTAACCCAGATTTGTAGCACAAATAATCCAATGCCGCCGGGCGCTGTGAGGGATTTCTGGAAAGGTGTTTTGGGTGTGAAATCCGCACAGGCTGGAACAGGCGCTGTCTCCCGACCGCCCTCGTTCCTCTGGGGTTCAACACGGCTCAAATCGGCCAGGTTTGCTCTTGAGGGCACCGCGACGGAGGAGGCCAGAGCCCGGTCGGTGGCACCGAGCACGGGGTGACGAAGGGACACGTCACCTTGCAGCCAGCGCCGGAGCGTGCAGCTCCCCACAGCCGGCTGTGCGGTGAACCGTGTGTTTCGTGCCCCGAGGGCGAGCGGTGCCCGGCTGCAATGGTTGGGAGCACGGGTGGCTGGGGGCATGGTGCCCATTGCCCCGGTGTGTGCCGGAGGCCGGGGGGGCCGCAGCCGGGCTCGTGGGGCCGTCAACCGGGGGGCCTCCACGCAGCGCAAACATGTGGCTGAGCTGCCCAACCTGTCCGGGAGCTTTGGGAACGGCACGAGCCGCGTCTGGCTCTTCGGGCACTTTCTTCCTCCCAGTGTGTCTGAGGCCACTGGCTCCGGCGGGACGAGCCCTCCCCGCTTCCCGGCTCTTGCAGATTTTGGGGTCTGTTGTGATGCCAGGACCCACAGCCCCCACTCGAGCACAGTGGCTGCATTTATCCATCAGTGTCCGGTACGGACCCAACCACCCGCTCAAGGGGTGCGAGACCCGCATGGGTGGAGGGAAGAGAAAGCGGTGCCGGGGCGGTGAAGCTGGTGCTGGCCCACGAGGACACCATTTTCCAGTATACCCTTTACTCTGCCCGCAGTGCCCCAGCACCAGTCCAACCCGGCTGCAATGTCATCGGGGGTCCCGGGGAGCTCATGCCCTCGTTACCAGCCGGTGCTCGTGTCTGCGAGGCCTTGGCCACCGCATCTGTGGGCTCGATACGTCCCACCGGTGCCTCCGCACCCGGGCGGGTTTCGGCCGAGTGCTTCCTCCTGCGCTGTTCTCCCCATCCCTGGATCCGACCAGGCAGGGCTGCAGGGCAACACGTGCCCTTTTACAGCCACGTCCCAAATGTCCAAGAGCAGAGCGTCACCACACCCCGTGCCGTGTCCTCCACTGTGTCCCACCCCCTCGCTGGAGGTATTTGGGGAAACAGCCGCCGGGAAGCAGAAGGACGCGTTGGGATGAGATCTGAAAACCGGTGGGGGCGAGATGCCCGTGGGGCAGCCGGCTGCGCCGAGACCCCGGGGGAACCGGGACGACGGGCTTGGCCCGGCCGCGT